AAAAAAAAAAAAAAACAAGCAAACATGTTCCCAATTATAGCAAAACAAAAATCAAACATTACACACCACACCATATCCAATCACAAATCACAACACAACGCTGTCTACACATTACGCACCACACCATATCCAAATCATATTACAAGTTCACCATGCTCTTTCCATCAAACAAACTAATCAATCACAATCACAACACAAATATGATTATGAAATACCAATCACAAGTCAAAAATATATCCAATTCATCACCAATAAAATTATAAAACATCTCAAATTCAAAGCATTCGTTCACCGCTCATCTACTCCTACATAAGAAAAAAAATAATGCATTAAGATATAAAAAAATAATATTATTAAAGTTTAAAAGAAAGAATACTAATTATAATAAAAATAAAGAATAAGAACCTCATCTATTAATTTGCTCGATGATGTAGCACCACCGCACGTCCACCACGGTTTGATCGAACCCTTCCCCCTCTTCCCCCTCGAGATGGATGTGACGGTAATTTTTTAACTCTGGACTCGGGTGGATTTGCACTTTTAGATGGAGGTGGTGGCATTTCATTTGTATTGAGAATATCTATAAAATATTACAAATAAGTCAATAAGAAAAAAAATATTTCATGCACAATATGAATTTCAAAATATTAATAAAATGGTTACTTACTTTGTTCCAATTGTTCGAGCTCCATGTAGAACTCAAGCTCTTCTTCCGTAGGCTCCTTGTGAAATTGAAATTCCTCTCCTTTAAGCCAATCATTTGTGCAAACTAAAGCCTCGACCATCCTAGATGTCAAAGAAGCTCTAAACGGATCCACAATCCTTCCTCCAAGGCTAAAGGCATTTTCACTAGCAACGGTCGAACTAGGAAAAACAAGTACATCCTTAGCAACCTTGGAAAGAATAGAGTAGCTTGAGACTTTACTTTTCCACCACCCCAATAAGTCGAAATCATCATTCTTTGTACTTTCATATGCATCATTAAAGTACTTGTCAATTTCATTAGCTATCTCTTTGAGTTTTGCTTCCTTTCTTTGCTTATTAAGTCTACGCTCTATCCGAACTTCCACATCATCATCATCATCATCACCATCATCATCACCAAGATCAACACCATCATCATCCTCATGCACATCCACATATGATTTTTCCGTTCCTTTGTAAATTTCATACATAAGATATAAGTGTGCTTTCACCCGACTCTTGAGGTGCTCAACTTCATTAAGAGTGTAGCCAAGTTCCCCTAATTGTAACTCCATCAATTGAAACTTATATCGTGGATCAAGGGTTTGGGCTACAAACATTAACATGTTCATATCTTCCAAAGAGCCCCAATATTTATCAAACTTCTTCTTCATAGAAGTAGCCACATTTTGCAACACAATATTTTTCTTATCTCTAATTCTAGCCTCAATCTCAATCTTCAAGTTTATCAAGATTTTTAGAACAAGATGCGAGGTCGGAGTCTTGGTGGCACTAAGCTTGATGGTGGCGTCATAGAACTTCTTGAGAAAATGTGCAAATCCCATAGCCTTTTCTCAATCTTCATCCGTCGGAGGCCCCACTCTTCCATCTTCAAAGTATGTCCTAAATGGCGTAAATTCTTCCACCATCCTTGCAAATACACCTTTAAACTTGTAAGCACCATGAAGCATGATGTATGTGGCATTCCACCGAGTCACAACATCCATCTGGATAGTGGACATTTTGTCCTTCTTCTCCAAAACCGCATACTCCCGAAATTTATCCAACCTCGCACTTGAAGAGTGAATATACTTCACACAATTTCGGATGGCTTCAATGGAATCTACTAACTCTTTCATTCCATCCTTCACAATCAAGTTAATTATGTGACAAGCACACCTCATATGCAAGTTTTCATCAAGCATAAGACTATCACTATCATGCTTCTGAAGTTGCTTCTTCAAATACTCCACGGCCACATCATTGGAACTCGCATTATCTACGGTAACGGTAAACACCTTACTTATGCCCCATTCGACCAACTTCTCTTCGAGACACCTTCCTATGTCTTCACCCTTATGAGAAGTAATCTTACAAAAGTTGAGCACCCTTTTGTGTAAATGGAAATCCGAGTCGATAAAATGGGCCGTCACCACCATGTAATTGATATTTTGGATGGAGGTCCAAGTATCGGTTGTGATACTCACACGGAGATCACCAATGATGCTTTTGATCTTTGCTTTCTCCTCGCAAAATAAACTCCACACGTCCTTCGCAATCTTCCTCCGATTAGGAATCTTATAACGAGGTTGAAGATCATGAATAAATTCTTTGAAGTCCAGTTGCTCTACGGTTCGAAAAGGCATCTCCGCTTTGATTATCCACTTCACACACATGTTGTCGAGTCTTTTTTGGTTGAAGTCGGAAATTTTTACTTCACCTCCCATCATAGACTGAGTTAATGTGGGTTGGCTCTTGTCCATCACCACGCGAAGAGGAGAACTCTCACACCTATAATACAAATGATTGAGAAGACCTCTAGTTCCATTCCTTTTCGAATCGGCCGGCATTTGTAATTCACAATGTTTGCAAATAGCAAACATCTCCTCATTTCCTTCATCATCGTGAATAATTTTCCTAACACAATGATCCCAAGCAATGCTCCTCTCCTTTCTCTTTTTGGGATTGCTTTTTTGTGAAACATTCGTGTTTCTCGAGATTTCTTGAGTTTGATTATCTCCGTCTTTCATTTCAATGACATTGACATTGGTGCTTAGAGCCGGATTACTCGAACTCACACTCTGACTCTCCATTCCTAATACAAAATCAAGTATAACATAAATAAACACATACATGAACATGACAATAGAAGTATAAAACCACAAAAATACAATACAAAAATTTAAGTATTTAACCACTGACAAAAACCGAGAACATTGATAATAAATAAACACATACATGATGTTTTTTTTTTCTTTTTTTTTTAATCAGACGACTTTTCGAATGAAGAATTTTATACTGAGTTCCAGTTGGTATATGTTCCACACTTAATTCTTGCTTCTCACAAAAGAATAATTCCTACAGGATGAATATTGCCAAAAAAGTTACATGCTTAACAAATATTTGATTTATCTAACCTCTAAAAAGACAAGAGTACACCTTTGGCTATCTCATAAACCAAGATGAGTTCTCGAATCTGCAACACTTCTATAAATGACTCAAAGTTCAACATTACTCAAAAACTAGAGTCCACATACCAATCACAGTAATTAAATTGACCCCCACTTGAGAAACTTTTCAAATTCTAAAACTTATATTTAGCACCAGATTATGAATCAAAGGTCTAAAAAAAAATTAATAATAAAATAAAAGAGGGCAAAGATGGCGAAATTTCTTGAATAAATAAAGCTAAAGTATAAAATTTTGATAAATAATCAAAATATCTACAAGTGATAAATACACTCACCAACTGGTTGAATATTTGATGGGGAAGAAGAAGTGTACGCAACTGGTTGAATAGCGACTCCTGTACTGGACCTACTGGTGGTACCTTCTGCTTGCAAAGACCGGTAACCCCCTTCACACACACAGGAAAAATAGGATTTTTGGAAGGAAAATAAGAATAAAATACCTGGTGCTTGGTGAGGCGGAGGCGGCGGCGGATGGCACGGGTCTGCGGCGGCAGATGGCGGATGGCACGAGTGATGAGTCGCTGCCCTAATTTGTTGAAAGAACACAGAAGTCTTGTTTCTTGTATTTTACTTTTATATATATATATATAAATTATTTTTTTTTATTAGCTTATCGGTTCGGTTCGGTTTTACCGAACCCTAATGTGTTCGGAACCGATACCGAACCGATAACTTATCGGTTACCGAAATTCGGTTACCGATACATAAGGGTCGGTTCGGTTCGGTTTTTTAGCACATCGGTTCGGTTCGGTTCGGTTCGATTCGGTTCGGTTTTCGGTCAAAAAATACCAGCCCTAATTTTACTTGCTTTCTGTTTGAGCTCTTGTTGAAAAGCTTCCATGAAGGATCTCAAAATCTTTCATGATGTTTCGAGGATGACCTCTTCGATTCCTATTCCAAGACCAATCAAACTCGTCAAGCAAATTCCAACACGCGTATTAACTCCAATCCCACTAAGCTATGCACTTACATTTTAAAACCAATTTTCTTTTACGACCATAACACATGGCAACGCCTAGAGAAAATTCATCAGCAAAGCAATCACAACAGTAAAAGCAGAGAAAAATCATCCTTCAAGTCATCATAAATATCACTCAAAGTCCCGTCCACCACCTCTGCCACCCCCACCAGAACTGAAGTCACCTCTCGACTTTGCTCTTTCAACCGAAAGGGTGCCCGCTACAAAATCTGATCCATTTCAAGAGCGTGGTTGAAGGCATTCGTATATGCTATACTGTATCCACGAAATCACAGTATATCAGCCAATTGCACAAGATAGATCTTAGAATGCAAAAAATTGGTTGAACGGATCACAAAAAAAGTAAGTCCTACAATTTCTTAGCATTTCAAAAGGTATATGAAAGCAGAACACAAAGATCATGATCTAGTAACTAACATATCATAAAAGGGAAATAGAATAGAAACATTATATAAAATCGATGGATCTGTCAAGTTAACTGTAACATATATATGGGATAAACACTACAAATTACAATAAGTAATGAAATAAGTGACTCAATAATTAAGAGAACCATATTAATTGTTTTAGAATTTTTACGTTGAATGATAATGAGGATGAGAATAATATATCTATACACCTAAATTTGAAAAGGCAATGGTACATAGGATTTTCAGTAACAATGTGGAATGAATAGAATACAGACCCTTTAACACCCACCATCTGGATCTTGCCGAATGGAAATTCTTGCATTATCACCACAAGAACCCAAATGATCTTTCCATGAGCTCATGATCTGCAAGTTCAAAGTGTTATTAGATTCCAATGGATAACTTAAAGGGGCTGCACAACAGAAAAATAAGTGAATTTAGTTAGTGTGCAGTAAGTACCTGATCTTCACCGCCATTTCTGTCAAATCCATGAACAAATACTCGTACCGCGGAGCTCTTGTTCCCTTCAGGAAAGATTGGGAATCTCTGCCACCAGAGAAATCAAGGTACCATCTGTTATGTGGAACAAATATCATAAAAGCTAGAGCAAGCAACATCAAAAGTGCAGTCATACCCACTCGTTGGCACCAAATGTCATGGAGAAGACATAGCACTAGGGTGTTTCAAATTAAAGGACCTTTATAAGATGTAGATCCTATAAGATCGAATAAGATAAAAAAGGACTAAATAAGAGAATGAACGAAGAAATTACAAATTACAAATAAACATTACCAAATTACATTGATTGCAGAGATGTAGCTTAACAGTATACAATAAAAAAACAAAAGTCAAGCAACACAAATCACAAATAAATGCTCCTCTGAGCTGTGGCTATCATATGACTCAGTTTCCTCACTTGGCTAATCCTTCTTGGCAACAGCTTCCGAGTTATTCTTAGCTGGAAATCCATCAGAGCTCTCTTCATCACTGCTCGAGTCATCCTTCATTTTGGTACCAGCGACAGAGGCCTATTTTTTTTGGCAGGGTAGAATCCTCTTAGGAAGGCTCATCTCCAGGAGCGTCGGAATCCTCACTGCTGGATTCATCTTTCTTCTTTGTACATTGCAGATTTTTTTTGGACTCACGGGGAGCTTTCTTTGCTGCAGTAACATCCGCACCCAAACTTTCATTCATCATCCTTGGTAGAAGCAGGAGCTGGACCTTATTTAGCCAGAGGTGCAGGAGCTTTCTCCTCATGGTGGTACAGTAACAGAAATATTCAAGGTTCCTCTTTGCAGCATAGAGAATTTCCAGTCATTTCTAGTCCCTTGTTCGACGAGTTCTTCGGTAAACTCTTTAACTAAGAGCAGCCAGGGTGCATCAACCAGCCCACTAAAGTACAACCAATTCATCAAGTGAAAACAAAGACAGACAAAACAAACACACAGCAAAAAAGAGGAAAAATTTGACTAAGGACCTCTAGAAAAACTAAAAATCAAACAGCATTGGGCTAAAATTGACTTTTACCGAATAATTTCGTTGATTCATCGCATCGCATTAGGTAATATTATTTTCCCTCAGTATCTGTGAAATAACAAGTGGAACATCACAGAAAAAAGCCTTATCACCTGATTGCGGGAAAACTCCGGGTCCTTGCCGTGTCAATCGATGGTGAGCGACGGGCCATGGCTCAAGGGATGTAGGCTCCAATAAAAACCTTTATTATCTACGCAGCCACTGTGCCATTTGATTTTGTAAGTGCCCCTAGGAAAAGAGGAAACATCGAGCAAGCAAGTAGAGAAACCTTGGCCACTTTCGTTGAGCTCGAAACATACATATTCGTGTACTGTCAAATGGTTACTGAGAGCCCCACAATGAAGACCATGGGTACAAACTGAGCCTGCAACATATCTAGACAGCTTCTCGTTCAAGTCCATCACATCATTGATCGCCTGATCCTGCCTGCTCGGCTGGGCCTGCCTGTTTGTTTTCTGAGAAGGTGCTGTAAAACTAAGAATGCAGTAGGCTTTGTTCAGTGGGCCCGGTGGGCCAACCGGCTTGTTTTTCAGTTGAAAACTCAGATTGAGAGAAAGAGGTACTCCAGACAAAATAGATGATCCATCAATCGTTTGACCATCTTCATTCATCATGAGGACCTCTGAGGAAACAGCAGGCCTGGAAATTGCAGACAGACAGCTTTAAATCATAGGATATATTAACTGAATATGGAATTACATGGAAAATTTAAAGCATATCAGATAAAATATTTAAAAAAAAAAAATCTAAGAATGATATCTCGGTGAAAAGTCAGTAGCTTATGATGGAGGACTCAATAACGTCGGAGAGCTAGAATAAGGGAAATTTCTTTTCTCTGGTTTATGGTGATATTAGCATGATATGAAATTCAAAAACCGTGCAAATTAACTTATAAATCAATGAGAGATAAGAATCCCCAGGATGCCAGGCATCTCCTGGTTTGGTTTGGATCATTGCAGGATCGAGAGAATGTCAAGAAAGCTCGTTGAGATCCCATAACATAGAGGTTCTTTCCCATGCTACAACGCAATTAAAATTAAATGTTCATGCACAACTGCATAGGGCACAAGGTCCTCCACTTCAAAGAGGATCGGACATTTATTAGGACTACCTGAGATAACCATTAGTTTCATAAAAGAATGGTGAGTAGTGACTAGTGAGATACCATATGTAGCCAAGACTGAAAAGGAACAACCAAAAA